ATTTTCGTTGCCAATGAGGCATTACCAAGTCCACCTTTAGTAACGGGTGATAGTTCAAATTTCACTGGAGATGGTGATGGGAAATTATTGGTGCGCGGTAAAGTGGTGCGATCGAATTTCGGTGTTAGGAAATTTGGATTTATTTTCGGTGAGGGATATGCTTCGATGGGTGGTGGATAAGTTGTTGGCGCTGCTGGGTACTTCAGCGGTGATTGTGGCGGTAGCGGTGCCTGCAGATGTGGCGGCAATGCGGCATTGCTTGTGGGTGTTGGTGGTGCTGTGGGAGACTTAGCATTGGGAAATGGATGTGACGCTGGGCGTACGTGTTGTGTGTGATAGTGTGGTGAAGCTGGTGGCAAATAAGTCGGTGTTTTATTGAAGCTCGCATTCAGTGCGATATTCACATTGGCGGCTGTGGGTGTCACCGAAGGTATTGCATAAGTCGCTGGCACATTTAATATCTTAGATGTTGGTATAGGTGATTTTTTTTCTATTGTTTTAAATGGACTTGATGCTTGTGTTGTTGTACCTTGTGGTACTGTTGCTGTTACCGGGGAAGCGCTCGTCACTGGTGTTGCGGTATTGAGTGGTGGTGTTGATACTGGTTTTGTGGTAATTGGTAACATCATCAATTGATTCGGTGGCACAAAGTTTTGCGTTGTACTGTCACATTTTCGCGAATCCGAATGTTCGGAATCTTTATCATTAGATTTGATATTTGCTTTTATCGCTAGCGGCTCATCATCGGAATCACTGAAACTTTTCTCTAGATTGCGCTTAGTTTCGTTTAACTCTTTATTTAATAAAAAATCTTCATCATCGGTATCTGCTTTACTGATATCCGATTTTTGCTTACTACTCGTTGCGCTCTCTACTGTTGTTGGTATTTTCGTGATGGCGCCTTTTTTTACTAGCATACCTTCAATTTCGCGTTTTACTGGCGCTGGTTTGGGTTGTTTGGGTGGACGGCCGCGTCTGCCGGTTGTTGGCTTCTCCACAGGAACTACTGGTTCCACTACTGTGGACTTTGGCGCCTCCTTCTGTGTGGTTGGCGCACTGACTGTTGCATTAGTATTGACGCCAGTAGCAGCATTCTTTTTCAACTCATTCTCCATTTTTTCCATCTCTTTCACATTCGGCCGATCGGGAAAACTGTTCAATGATAAGTCGTCATCTTCATCTTCGGCTAATTGTAGTTTATGCCCTATGATGCCCATATAAATTGCAGCTGCCTCTTTTGTCTTACGTGACGGTCGTGAAAATCTTGCATTTCCGCTGCTCTCCTTTTCGTCTTCACCATTTTGTGCCGAGATCTCTGACTTGGATTTTTTGTTTGTTAATTGACGCACAGGCGATTGCTTTTTCGGAGATTGTGGTGCCGTTTCCTTAACTATTTCGATCTCGTCTTCTATTTTCTTTTTTGCAATTCTCCCTCGGCCCCTACCTTTAGCTTTTAGAGGCGCTTGCTGCTTTTCTTCCACGGCTACCTTAACATTGCCGTTGGCTATTAGATTTGCCTCGATTTCTTCGTGTGTTTCTACAGCTTCAGCTACTGGCGATTCCTGTTTTTGTTCCGAATTTGCTTTTTTTGGTGTAACTTTTTTTGTAAGTTTTACCGCACGGCCACCGGTCTTCTTTGGCGAAGCTTTGGATCCCTTTTTCAGTTTTATAGATTTTGCCAATGGTTGCTCGTCGTCGGACGAAAAGTCGAAAACATTCATTTTATCTTTATTTTCGGTATTCAAGTCTTCATCTACGTTTTTTGTAGACTTCTTAGAATTTTTGTTTGCTATTGGGCGTTGTGAAATATCGGCTGAATTTTTAACTAATTTGCTGTCGACATTCTCTAATTTCACATTATTCTCAGCAATATGCTCGTCATCCGCTTCTTCGGTGTGTATCACTTTAACTGGTTCAAAAAAAGCTCGTTGCCTTGTCATACGTCCTGAGGGCTCAGGCGATGGTATAAATATTGGTGACTCTTTCTGTCTAGGCCGTTTTACTGGAGCTTTATCTTTAGCTTTTGGCTTCTCATCTTTTGTTTGTGTTATTTTTGTAATTTCTTTGGAATTCGATTCCATCTGTGCATCTTCTAGTGCAGCGTCTTTATTATTTTTTTTCGCTGTTGAAGGTGGTCGACCTTTTCGTGAACGCCCTGTTTCACTCTCCTTCGATGGCGTTTCTGATTTACGCTCCTGTATTGTGGGTGTTTTTGATTTTTTCGCATCGCTTCTTCGCACTGCATACGATTCTTTTTCGGAATCTTCAATTTTCGTAGCGTCATCTTTCGCTGAATAGAATTCATCATCTTCTTCACTGTCATGCTCAGTTGTTTGTTGTGTATCTTTTGCACCACCCCGATTTGAACGTCTTTTTGTATCCGGTAAATTATTGCACTTATCAGCATCGGAGTTGTTGTTGGTTTGTTGATCGCCCGGTGGACGACTTCGACGATTACCAACAGGAACTACTTCTGCACGCTTTCTCACGGCAAATGGTATAATATTATTTTCAGCGGACCCAATATTGTCTTCTGGTTTCGGTACAACTTCTGTGGAAGCTGCATCCGTCTTGTAGTCACTATTCTCGGGCGCTTCTGCAACAGTGGTTGCTGCATTTTTGGATGTTGACGCTTTGGGTTCCTCTTTCTTCGTTGTGCTACCTTTGGGTCGACCTTTCTTGCCTTTTTTACCACCTTTGGTTTGTTTGACAGGTGTTATCTTTACAGGACGCTCGGGTTCTTTCGTCTTGCCTTGATTCAAAAAGTCTAAATGCGCTGGTAATGCAGGCGTTCCACGAAAACACAGAAAAGTTAGAAAATCTTCAGTTTTCGGACGTTTGTTTGGTAAAATTTCCGTTGGTGGTTCACGGCTCTCTGAAGATGTGCTTGGACCAGTATTTGATGAAGAAGAAGCTGCAATCACTGAACTGTATGATGACGTGGGAGCATTTTGGCCTTGTGCAAATTTCCGCTGGGCTTGAACTTTGGTTCTACACGTGAAAGATACAAACATATGATTACAAAGTCAGTTTGACAATGAGATTTTGTTTAATATTCTAATATAACTGCAAAAATTTATGTAATAATAATGTAGTCAGCACAATGCTATATTTCTTTCACTTTTCTAATATCAATTTAATAATACAATAGTTACAAAACGAAACAACAACAAAAAAACTTTTTTTGCGCTTGTATATTAAGTGTCTGTTCATAACATTTATCTTTCAATGGCATATAGTAGTCTTTGAAAAAAAATAGTTCACGTCGGTCCATATTTTAATTTCGCATGTGTATTCGTCACAAATTCGGAAAATATGTTAATTTTTCTACTATAATATACAATATAATAAATAATAATAGTTAGGATTTTATAAAAAAAAAATATTCTGAATTAGAATTCTTGGTACTATTAGATGTTAAGCACAATTAAAATTTGTAAAAATTACTTTAGGCAGAATACTCTCATTTAGAGGAGAGATGGTTTTTTTTATTATTTTTTGTAGTCCTAAATGAAAAAAAAATATTTCAAGAATATTATGACAAAATTTCAGAATTGACGAAGTTACATGTATTTTTACAGCTGTCTTTCGAACGTTTTACACCTGATTCCCAAACTTTTAAGTGTTTTTCTACCAACTCACGTTTTTTAAAGTCGGTGCCCCTAACAACTTTAAAATTACTGCACCGATCGTTTGGTCTGAGACGCTTCAAACTAATTGCTGCCATTGCCGTATTTTGTATTACTTATTGTTACCATTGGTTTTTAAAAATATATTTAACTTTTTGATAAAAAAAAATCATAAAAAGGGGCCTTGTTATACACGAATTAACCGCACTCCCCCGTTAAAGAATTTAACAAAAATTTAGCTAAAAAAACTCATTAGTAATTTAATTTTATGTATATGTATATAAATATAAATATGTTTAAATAACAAACAAGTTTCTGCAAAATTTTTTTCCTACAATTATAATGATACACTACAAATTTGACTTCATTATTGTCTTTATATACATATTTTATTTGCATAGACTTTCAAAATACTTCCTTTGGTCATTACTACTTTAATATACAATAAATGACTTATGCACTTGTCTATCCTATATAATTGCATGCATATATAAATTATTCCGTGAACAGGTACATACACACATAGATGTACATACGTACATACATATAAGCTTGTAAATGAATGCCCGTTGTTTTGCTATTATATTTGAAATAGTTATCCATACACCACACATAAAATTATTATATGCCCTCTTAATACTACACAATGGTAAAAAAAAATTCCATATTGATCACATAAACCGGGCTTCTTACAAATAAACGTATTACGTACCGTTTAGGCATTTCTGGTGACGACTCCACTGTCGTCGGTTGAGGTGGCGGTGACTCTTTGCGTTTCCGCTTAGAGTCTTTGGATACGACCATCTTTCATCCACCCCTTTGGCCACTTCTCCTACTTAACTTTTTCAATTCACACTTGACTTCACTTGGGAAAATATGTGCGTCGTTTCTCCGCCGGTTAAAAATTTGTAAAATCGCAACACGTAATGGCTACTTAGGAGCAGTAACTTTATATAAGGGTCTATCAGTTTTTGTAAATTTTTATTAAATGTGTACAAATCGCATAAATTACTCCAATTTACACACACCGCCACCGCAACTACCCATTTTTTTCATTTGCAAAATTTTCATCGACGTCGTAACTAGAAAAATTAACTCCATTTTTTTCAATACTTTCACTGCATTTTATTTGTCACAAAGATTGGCATTCATTACAAATAAGTTCACTCCAACAATTTTCAATTGTTACCAAATTTTTTACACATTTTTATAAGGGAAAATAATATTTGAAAAATTCTTATTTTCTTCTCCGATTCGCAATCGCTTTGCGTTTACTTCAGTGACTCCAAAACTAATTGCTTTGTGTCATGGCGGACAAATAACAGAGGTGTATTCCATAGCACTACGTTTATTTTAAGTAGTTTTAAGAGCAATGTAGTTTTACTATGGGTCAGTGGAATACACAGAACACATTTTTTGTTAAAAAATTTAAAATAAGTGCGATAATGATGTCAAAAATTCATAATTTTTCAAATATTTCTGATCAACAAGGACATGTCTATTTATATTTATAAAAGAAATGGCATGTATCGAATTTTCAAAAGACAATACCTATTTGTCAATTTTTTTCTTCAAATTTTTCTTTAAACACTGTATATTTAAGGCCTTTTTCTCAATGTCTGCTTAGCAACCATCTGTCAGTGAAGTTCTGGTTAATCGAACCAAGACTCCTTGTGTCGGTTTAGTTCTTGTTAACTCAACAAAGACTGCTTCTTTCGGTTGAGTCGCCTAGAACTTAACACATGATTGCTAACCAGACATTGAGGAAACTGTCCCTAATGATACATTCTTATAGGTTTTATTTTGAAATTTATGTGTTTACCAACACTGTTTATTGTGAGGAAGTGTCGGTGACCCTGTTTGTAGCTACGTTGTGAATTGCATTTTTTTAATTTTGGCAGGTAAAAATATATTTGTGTCAAAGAATAATTGTCAATAGGGCTTTAAAGTACGAGTGCTGGTTAGCCACAATTAATACAATTTAACAAATAAATAAAATGTCTGACGGTGCAGGAAGTTGGTGTTTAATTGAAAGTGACCCAGGTGTATTTACGGAACTTATCCGTGAATTCGGTAAGTGACTTTGTTTGCGTCTTTATTTACCGGCTTCTATGAATTTGTTTCACACAATTTTCTTCATTTGGGTTAAATATACAAGATAAACTTTATTTGATTTATTGAAAAAGTGCAATATCATCGAAATTTGTTATTTATTGATTATTTTCATATTGCTTATATATAATATTTATATGAACCCATAAAGGAAGCGAAATTTAAAGATGTAATGTAAACATTTTCATTCTTTCTAACTTTTTAGGATGCGAAGGCGTGCAGGTGGAAGAAATATGGAGTTTAGATCGTGACCTATTCAAAGAACTCGAACCCATACATGGACTTATTTTCCTGTTTAAGTGGGTACAGGACGACGAATCAGTTGGCACAGTAGTAAAGGACGATCGTTTAGAAAATATATTCTTTGCGAAACAAGTTATTAATAATGCTTGCGCTACACAAGCTATACTTAGCATACTATTAAATTGCAATCACCAAGATATTAACTTGGGACCAACACTTAATGAATTCAAAGAATTTTCACAGTCCTTCGATCCGTTCAATAAAGGTTTAACACTGAGCAATGCGCCTAAAATTCGATCTGTGCACAATTCATTTGCGCGACAAACACTCTACGAGCTAGACACTAAAAACCAAAACAAAGATGATGATGTATACCATTTCATTGGTTATATACCGATCAATGGCCGCCTTTATGAGCTTGATGGCTTGAAAGAAGGTCCAGTCGATTTAGGGGCTGTGGCCGCTGATCAAAATTGGATCGATGTTGTGCGCCCCATAATCGAAAAGCGTATGCAAAAGTACAGTGAAGGGGAAATTCACTTTAATCTTATGGCACTTGTATCGGATCGATTGAAAATATATCAACAAAAAATAGATCAACTTATAAACACCGGCGACGGTGCCATGGATACCGACGAGGATAGACAGACTGAAATCGCTAAATTGCGTTCGAAAATGGAGTACGAAGTTGAGAAACGGAAACGCTATAGAGTAAGTAAAAGTAACTGTACAAGTAGTACAAACACACAGCAAAACTGTTTAGTAAAAAAAGTAATTGTGGTTATTAACTAAAAATTTGTGGATTATAATTGGGAATTGACTATTCGGTATGTGAAATATAATAAATGTATTTCTAAACACGTAGACCTGTGTTTCATGGAAAATTAATCGTCAAAAGATTTTGTAATTTTTTTTTTTTTTGTATTTTTTGCCTAAACACCTTAAAAAAAATTTATATTTTTATTTACAGATTGAAAACATTCGTCGTAAGCATAACTATTTACCATTTATAGTAGAATTACTGAAAATGTTGGGCGAACAAGGCCAATTAATGCCTATCTATGAAAAAGCAAAACAACGCGCTGCAGAAAGGGAGGCTGCCGTTTCGAAAAGCAAATCTTAAAAGCTTAGCCACTGTCGGCGCCATTCAAAATTCTTAAACATCGTTGACGCATTTTTTCTTTACACTTGTAAATGCTTTTATTACAAAAGAAAAAAAAATTAATAAAATCAATTGTTTATATACATATATTGCTAACGGAATGACTGCCGAGGAGAATATGTATGATTCCCCTAAAGATTGTTTAAATTTTTTGAAAACTTGAAAAAATAGCAAAATAAATCTAACTTGTGCTATTGCAAACTGTAATTGTTTTATTTAATAATATTGTATAAAAAGGCATGGTTTTTATTTTTGATTTATTACTTGTAATATATTTCAATTAATAGCATTAATATATATAATATATAATTTAATGTATATATAGTTGATCTTTATTACAATATGTATACTATATCCAGATTTCATTGCGTTTTTACTTTTATAATATATGTAAGTATTGTATATAGGAATATTATGTTAATCAGTGATTTTGTCGGTTTCTAGGTTAAATCCATATTTACGTGTTATGGATTGATTTTCAAGGGTTTTTGATTCTAGTATTTTTTGGTGTTATATGCATATTTTACTTTTTGGGTGCGAGTATGTTTGATTTATTAGTCGTTTTTAAAAAAAAAGTTGCGCTAAAAATTTTGAGTGGACAAAAAAAAACAAATATATAATATTAATAATCATAATAAATAAAAAATATATAAGTGAATAAATAGCGGCAATTCAAAAATAAAGTTAAAGCAAAAGTGCTTAAGTCGTAGTAAACAATTTGGGAATCAATTCAACAAATAACTTTAAAAAACTAAAAATAGTGCGTTCTAAGTTTTTATATCCTGAACATTGCATAAAAGGAAACGTCGGAGACATTATGTATAAAAAAAATATATAAATGATATTCATGAGAAGCTGGATCGATTTAGCCATGTCCGTCTGTCTGTATATACACGAACCAGTCCCTAAGTTTTTGACATATCATCCTGAAAATTTGCACACATCTATTTCACCGATATCGAAACACTATAGCATATAGCTGTCATACAAACTGTTCGATCAAAATTCATTGCTTGTATGGAAAACTTTTGTATTTGACAAGATATCATCACGAAATTTGGTGTGATTTATTGTCCAAAACAAAGATACAATCTCCGAAGAATGATCGTTTAGATCGGACCACTATAGCATGTATGTAGCTGTCAGACAAACTTACCTATCAAAATCAAGTTCTTGCATGAAATCTTTTGTATTTGTTTAGGGTATTATTGCTTCGGTGCAACCGAAGTTAAAGTTTTTTTTTCTTGTTCATAAAATAATTTAGTAATGGTGCTTTTGCATTTTATAAAACTATTTTAATATTAACGAAATTTAAATGGTTTGAATTACGAATTTCTTCTCTGATTGTATATTTCTTCATAGTTTTTATGTTTCATAAATTGTGTTGTTACATAACTTTTGATTTGTTTTTTAAATGTGTATCCCCATTTATATATAACTTAGCATATTCCGCTACATTGCTTTTACTGTTGTTTTTGTGTTTATGGTTTTTTCTTTCCTGTGTTGTATATAGTATATTAACGTGTGCTTGTCTCAATTTACCATATTCAGTGTTTTTACTAAGTAATTTGTCATTTCGCACTGATTTTTATTTAGTTTTTTGATTTTTTTTTTATCAAAAACAAATTTTGAAATTATCTACGATAAGCTCTAAATTTAGCACTTAGAAATATTTAATTTTTATTTTCGCTTGTTTTTCAATTATATTTCAATTAACATAATTTTTTGCATGAATTTTTGAAGACACAACAGTTTCGGGTCCAGTTCCAGGAAGTATAATTTCAAGTTTAATTCTTTCATTTGCCTTTTTGCACTCCACGGCCACATCACACCCAGCCGCAGCTCCGCGTTATAGCACTCGTGCGAATGCAATGGTTATTGTTAGGTCTTAAAGCCATCGAGTTGCGCCGCTTGTGCGGTTGTTGTTTGAGCGTTGGGTTGAGTTTGCGGCACCGGTTCACTACTTTCTCTATGAACTGTAATTGAATAAATTATTGTTTTTTGTTTTTTCTTTTTCTTTTATTGTTGTTGCTATTTGCTCATTATCTAATAATGTAATAATTTGCACAATGTTGTTGTTATTGTTGCATTTTGGAAGCATATCAAATGGGTATTGTTAGATTTGGAAAAAATTGATTTGTCTGATTGAATTGATTTGCCGAATTGATCGAATAGTTGTTCGGATTGTAAGATGCAAAGCAATTATTTGGCGTTGTTATACCTGCGGCCTGCATGCGATTGTATAAATTCTTTTTCTTCTTCTTCAAAATCATATCCAAATTGTAGCCATCAGCGGTTGTTGTTCTGCAAATTATTTAATTAAGTTAGTTTATTTATTAAAAGTAATTATTTTTATATAGAAATTAATAATTATTGCTCACTTTTCAATGCGATTCATTCCCAATAGTTCCTTGTAGGATAAGTAGATCTTGTTGAGTGTCAAATTTGGTAATCCCTGCCCCAAATATCGTACAAATTTGACCTGCTCACATTTGGGTAAGCCACTCTCATGGAAGTCCAAAAAGGGTCTATGATCGGAAATCTTATATTCCTGCAAACGTGGTAGTTGTGTAAACAAAAATAAAATTTTACGTAAATATTTCGACTTTGGCTTAGAAAATGAGAAGACATGCATTTGCTGCGCTTTTATATGCATTATAAGAAGTGCTGCTAAAATTACTTGATATACTTAGGCATATGTGGGTTGAATTAATATTTACACCCTGTATAAGGCATACTAAGTTTGCCACGAAGTTAATAACACTCAGAAGGAAAAGTCGAAGACCCTATAATTTATATATATATATATATAATATCAGAGTCACGAGCTGTGTCGATTTAGCCATGTCCGGCTGTCCGTCTGTTCGTTCGTCTGTCTATAAGGGAACTAGTCCCTCAGTTTTTGAGATAGCGACCTGAAATTTTGCACACGTTATTTTCTCTCCAAAATGCTGTCAGAACGCGTATATCGGGTCACTATAGCATATAGCTATCATACAAACTGTTCGATCAAAATCGAGTTCTTGTATGGAAAACTTTTTTATTTGACAAGATATCTTCACGAAATTCGGCATTTTGTCAAACACAACGCAGCAATCTCCGAACATATTGTTCAAATTGGACCATTATAGTCTTTGTACTATATATATATGTATGTATGATCTATCAAAATGAATTCCTTGTATGGAAAACCTTTTTATTCGGCAAAATATCTTTCTCATATATTATCCGAACATATTGTTCAGATTGGATTACTATAGCATATAGCAGCTGTCATACAGACTGCTCGATCAAAGTCAAGATCTTTTTGCAACTTTTTAATGATTGTGATATCATTTAAACATACTCACACATACATATGTATGTACATATAGTAAACATATGTAATTATGTCCGTTTATATATGTATGTAATTAAATCGCATTAATGTAAATGCCTAAGTACTGAAGACAGCCTCCTTTTCGCCATAAACTCTAAATATAAACACAGCCATCTTATATAGGCCAAAGAAAAATGTACAAAAGTTTATATGTATGCATATTTAAGCATATGCGTTTGTAGGTATGTGTGTATGTATAAGTGTGTATGCAATTTACGCTTCCTTTGTTTGCTCACATTGCAAAATTTGCTGAAGTTTTCGACGATTATGTACTTTTCGTAAAAGGTTACCGTTTGATTACTCTGAATACCGAACTGTTTGAATATTTCCTGCTTTTTTGGCGGCAAACGTGTTATATGTGTACAGACCCCATCCTCGACACGATGTGTTTCGTGTACATCGAAATTTTCGTAAATCATTAAATTTTCCAAAACTTTTGGCATTATACAACGCGCTGGTAACGCATCAAAACTGTTGCCGACTCTCGCACCGCCACTGGCACCATCCAATGCACCGACAGCGTTCGGTCCGAAATCCATGCTATCGCTGGATTGCTGATGCACCATATTTTTTAAATCTGTGGAATATATAGAGATTATATTTAGAACAATTTTTTTAGTTAAAAATTTAATATAGAGTTGTATTTTTGATTAATTTTAGCGGAGCCAAAAACAAAAAAAAAATAGTAATAATAATAATATGAATAAAACAAAACCAAACGAATAATGAATAAATTTATTTATAAAACTAAAGTAAAACGTTATTTGTTTTTTGTTTATTGAATTTTTAATATTAATTTAACAAAAATAAAAAAGTTAATCTAATTTTCTTCAAAAGCAGCCGAAAACAAGTTAAAATGTTTATGAGAATTTATCTAAATTTGGTTAAAAAAAAATTACTTAGAAAATGGTTAATAAGTTTAATATGCTGTTGTTTCTTAAATTATTTATATTTATTATATTTTATTTTATAGAGAAAATCACAAAATTTTAATTAAATTTTATTAATAAAAAATAAAATGTTTTCCGCATTATTAAATAAATAAATAATTAATTCAAATATGACGATATAAATAAAAAAAGAAATAAAATAACGAAAAAAATATTGTAAATAAGTTATGATTTTCATAAATTATTGATAAAAAAAAAAATATTCGAAAATGGCTAATAATTCTAATATGCATTTAAAATTGTTTTTCAAAATATCACTAAAAAAATATTAAAAGTTGCAAATATTATTTATAAAAGTTAATATTTAGTGAATTCCAAATATACAAAACACTAAAATTATGTGTATTGCCGTCGGGGTTGCAAATAATGCATTAAAGATTTGAATTAATTTAAATTAAAATTTTTTTATCCTGAAAATCTGAATTAAAAATAATTTTCAAATTTCTAATCTCAAATACCGAATTGAAAAATTAAAAATAAATTTTATACTCCAAAAATCGTATTAAAAAAATATTAAAATTTTAATTCTAAATAATTTTGCGATTATAAAAATAATAAAAAGGTTTATTTTTATACATTATTTGCAATTTGCAGAATATTTTTTTATATAAAAAATAAACAATTTAAATTTTAATTCTAAATAATTTTCTAATTGAAAAAAGGGTTTCTGAATCAAATTTTTTTAAGATAAAATTTCAACTAGTTTAACACTTTATTTATATTTAATAGCATTTAATTATAGAGTTTCAGTTAAGAATGCGTAAAACTTTTTTTTTTATCCATTAAGTATTAATTTGAAGAATATTTATTTTTAATTAAAAATAAAAATTTTATATTTTAATTCTAAATAATTTAATTAAAAATAAAAATTTTATATTTTAATTCTAAATAATTTAATTAAAAATAAAAATTTTATATTTTAACTCTAAATAATTTGTGAATTAAAATTAAAAAAAGAATGTGTTTTTGAATTAAAAAATTTTAAAAAAATAAAATTTCAACTAGTTCAACACTTTTTGTCTTATTTATATATATTCGTATTTAATTATAGTGTTTCAGTTAGAAATGTGTAAATCCTTCCTTTTTTATCCATTTTCATTCTAGCTACATACTTGTATGTATGTACCATATGTATTAATTTGAAGAATAGTTTTTTGTATTTGTTACTCCAATTATTAAATTAAAAAATTATTATTTTCTCAATTTTTAAGCCAAGATATGTGGAATTAAAAGTTAAATTTAAAATTTTTATCATTAATTTAGAATTGTAAAGCAATAAATAAAGTTTTTAAAAATTGTACATAAACAAATAAAATTAAATAAACAACTTAAAATTTAATTCCTAAATTGGCATTAAAAATTAAAATGTATTTTAATAATTTAAAATGTTAATTTTAAGTTAAAAAATTTTCATTAAAAAATAAAAAAACTGATGCCAAACATGTAAAATAATAAAAATTTTAATATAGTCAAAACAATTTTCATCGTAAAAGCTGCATACTTCTCTCTTAGAACTTATGTACACAACTTAACCTCAAATTGAACTCTAAACAAAAAGTTGACTGGGTGCTGTCAACTAGGCAGTGAATAAAAGCATATTTACACACATTTCTCTATACATGTATGTACTTGTATGTATATATTTGCATAAATAAAGCTCTCATAATTTATAGCCGAGATAAACCAATTCATTTTCATTTTCATAGTTGGCACGAGTGTGCGTGAATTAAAACCGCCAGTTAGCCAATCCCAATGAATTTAGCGATCATTTAGAATGCTCAGCGCTATGCTGCCAACTATTTTTAGCCGCTGCAAGCAGGCTCGATCCGTCATAGTAATCCTCACAAAAACAAAAAAAAAAGCATTGTGACTACAAATGCAAATAAAATAAATAAAAATAAAATTAAACAAAATAAAGATTTGAGTGACAGAAATAATGCGAGCGGCTAATACGGCGACACGGAAAAATACAAACAGGCAAAAAAATATTTTAATTTCGCATGTAATATAGTTTTTATTTTATTTTGAATTCTTTATTTATTTTTTATTTTTTACACATCAGTATGCACTAGTTGGCGTTGCGTTATAATACGTACATGATTTTGCCGTTACTTCCGACAAATAATATTTTTTTTAATTAATACAAATCATGTTAATCTCTTGGCTAATATACTATATAGTCAACACAAAAAAATTTAAAAAAAAAAAAAATTAGAAATTATTACAAACACACACAAAAAGTTAATATTTAGGAGAGTTATTTTTGTACATGTATGTATGTATGTAGATTAAATATTTATGTTTGGCACATGCATACCGAAGCAGAAGTGCAGGTGCAGGTGCATGTGTGTGTATGTTTATAACTAAGTATAATTAAATAATCTCATTTAAAGGAATAACATTGTATATATTTATGTGTGTGTGTGTGTTGTATGTATATTTTGTGAGTATATAGCTGTAAATACTAGACTGCAATTTCCTCAAAGTATTTATATATTGAATTATAATATTATTTTTTGTTTTCTTAACAGCTGAAAATGTGGCACAAAGCATTTTTTTGCAGTCGAGTATTTTTTTTTTCTTCAAAAATATACTAAAAATTTGTATACACACACACATACTAAATAAACAAAATATGCTAGTAGTGTTGTTGAAAACAAAAAACCTATAAATTACATACATACATAATTACTAATGCATATGGTACAATTTTAATATATAATTTCTTCTTTTGTTGTTTTTGTTATTGTTTTTGATTAACTAATTTACTGCGCTTATCAACTGATGCGTTTAGGAATTAATTGTACGCATCAAAATCATTTGGATAGACCCCTTGACATTGACATCGGGATGTGTAAAGGTGATTGTTGTTGTTGTTGTTGCAGCTGTAGCTGTTGTAAGTGTCCAGGCGGTAATGGTGATGATGGTGTTTGCTGGTGCATCAACTGTGGATGTGTTTGTGTTGGTAGTGGTTTTGGTGGTTGTGGTTGTAGCGGTTGCGATTGCAGCGGATGTGGTTGTAGCGGTTGCGATTGGTAAGGATGAGGTTGTAACGGTTGTTGTTGTTGTAAGGTATGTGGTTGCGATTGCAAGGGACGCGCTTGCATCTGCATCGGTGGTGTGTGTGGTGACTGGGCGCGCAACTGATGTGCCGCTGCTAACGATTGTAATTGTGGTGATTGTGATTGTAACGGATGTGGTGGTTGCAACTGTTGCGATTGTAGGGATAGTGATTGTAAAGGATATGCTTGCAATGGATGTGTGTGTAACGGTTTCAGCTGTAAGGGCTGAGCTGGAAGCGGTTTTGATTGTAGCGATTGTTGTTGTTGGAATTGAGGTGGTTGTTGCTGTGGTTGTAGTTGTGGATGAGGTTGCTGTTGTAATAGTGGAAGTTGCTGTTGTTGCGATTGTGGAATTTGTTGTTGTGGTTGTGGTGGAATTTGTTGTAATTGTGGTGGTGGTGCTTGTTGCTGTGATTGTTGTGTTTTTGGTGCTGTTTGTTGTTGTGTTTGTGGTGTTGGTTGTTGTTGTGATTGGGATTGTGACGGTGGCAGTGACTGTGACTGTGGCTGTGATTGCGAATGTGACGAGCTAGGGTTGCCCTTACTCGTTGTATTGCCTAAAAACCAAAAATAAAAAAAATTTTAAAAAAATATTAACGAAATCATAATAAAAAATTTTTTGTTTAATTTTTGAAAAAACTTGGAAAACATATGTACTAAATATGTATGGCAATGTTTTTGTATTAGTGTTTATATGTATATATATTTCATGATATTTTAAAGAAAAAGTGATTTCTATATTTTATACTTTTTGTGAGGGTTAACGGCATAGATATTAATTCTTTTTGCATTAAAAAATAGTATATTACATTTATTTTGGGTTAAAAAGTGTATTTTTTATCCTACGATATCAACGATACAAAAATTAATTATAAAAAAAAAATATATTAAAAAAGTTGAGAACTGCTGAAACGTTAGTAGTGCCCCGTATTTTTTATAATAAAAACTAAAGTTCTAATTAATTTAATATACAAGCAAAAAGGTTACCCTTATTTTATATATACATTAGGATGGGACAAAAAAAAAGAATTAATTTTTCCCTTCAGATACCATGACAATATCGTCGTAAATAACAAAAAACAATCTGGTAAAGCTTGAGCTCTTTATATTTATACTAAGGGGTGGCGCATGGTGATTTTCCATATAAATAACACAATATTGTTTTCTTATTTTGTTTGGAGATTACTGAGCTAAGGAAAAATACTAATTTTTCGTTTTAAACCACCCTAATATATTATACATGTAAAAATGTTTTTTTTTTTAAATATTTTTGAAACTAACCTGCCGTTGTATTCGATAGAAAACGTTTCGTTTTGTCCAATATATAAGGCAAATTGTAACCATCTTTTGTGTAGCTAAATGGTAGAAAAAATAACGAAATATTAAAATTAAATGTAAAAAATTTATTCTATTGTATATAGTTTTTTTTTTGTTTTAATTTGAATTTCGATATATATATTTATTCACCAGCTTTACTTACATTTCTGTACGTTTAGTGCAGAAAAGGTTTTTGAAATTACTATAAATGCAGAAAAGCGTAAATGTGGGTAGTCCCTGACCCAAATAACGGGCAAACTTTATTTGATCCGCCTTATTTAAGCCACTTTGATTGAGTGAGAGAAATGGTCGATGATCCTGTACGTCATATTCCTTAAAGAAATAAAAAGAAAAATTTAAATTAATATTATAAGTTTTTTTTTAAGATACAAATTTTTTAAAAACCTTAGTCTTAAACTTAAACTTCTAGGGATAAGAAAATACCTTTTTATTGTTTTAGTTTTAAAGAAATGTTCACTTTTCTAAACTTCTTATAAATTTCGTTAGGAAAATTGGTTATCACAGATTATGTTAAATAAACTAAAAATTAGTTGCACATAAAAATAGGAGTATTCTATTGTATTATATATAGTTGAAAAATTCTAAAAGTTTTAAATTAAAATAATTTTCAACCTTTACTTTAAATCTAGTCTATGAAATACTGGCAATGTTGAAATCTCTTTTACTAACTGCCAGAAAACACTCGAATTGGTTAGTTTTCGTTCAATAACACTTTTTTTCTTATCAGTTCTGCGGGTTTTTATGAAGTTGCCCCCCATTGTCTAAAGCCAGAAATGACATTTGTCTAAAAAAACTTTATGGATTATCCTATACAAATGTTGTAAAAAAGTGGTTAGAAAATTTTGAGAATAAAATATATCGTTCTTCACGAAAGCGATCAAACAAACATAGCTTATATTGAAATATTATGAATTCTTAACAAGATTCTTGATCTGATCAAATTTGACCCGGACTGGTCAACATAAACGTTTGTGCGCGCAACCGAAACTTTATAAAAAAAAATTCTCTTTTTGTTTAACGATGATATGTAACGCAAAAGATTTAACTAACGATTTTTAATATGGAAAAAATTGAACAACAAGTTTTCTTCGGCTACGAAATCGTTGAACATGTTGTAGAAGTGTTTTGGGGAGTCTACCTAAAATGCAGTCAGTGAAAGTCGTGAAGGGATCAAAAACGTGCCTCTGTTAATGACAATAACATCGAAAAAGTCAAAGAAACAGTGCTTGAAATTCATACTGCTGACATCTTAGAGATATGTTAACAGAAGATCTTAACATATCTAATGGATCGACTCAACACATTTTGAATAATATTTAAGGTATATGTGGTGTATGAAGAGCGTCAATGCTTGACTCGTACCAATAGATCTGAATCTTTTACACAAATGTCGAATAGAGGTCGCAAAAGTGATACTTGACAACGCAGCTTACATTTATTAAACGCCATATTACTAATGACAAGACATGGGTTTATATATATGACGGCAAAACTGTCCAACAATCTAGCAAATGGCGCTCCAAAACTGTGTCGAAACCGAAAAAAACCAAAATTCGCTGAAGGCACTGAAGGCCTAGTCAGCCAGGGTTTTTATTTTTAAGGCGAAATGTATTTTTTTTTGTCAGTCTGTATACATTTTGTCTGACTTTATTTTTACCACAATTCTAGGCAGTTATTATTTAATCATATCTTAAAGCCACTTTAAGAACTGAGCAGAGCTATGTATATATGGTATATGAGAAACACTAAGTAAGATTAAAGGATTGGAGAGTTTGATATACCAAATGTTTTTACGAGTACATATTTTGTTTGTGGCAAAACGGTGATGTGCTACAAAGTCTAAAAGCAAACTTATGAAAATACAGTTAAAATTCTAATTTTAGTACAGATATATGTATATGTATATGTGGCAGACATTTGTGAGTACATTTGGATTCTGCATAGGCCAGATAACAAGCGCCATTGTGCATATAAAATTTATTGCTCAAATATTTCAAAGCAAATATAGTTTATATCATACAATTTTCTAAAAAAAACAAAAATCCACTTTATATTTGAGTTATGCCTGCAGACTCAGTGGACCTCTCTTCTACTGCTATTAAATATATAAATATATTTATATTTGTATGATGATACACCCAGCAGTAAAATGGATGCGCTCGAGCCTCAAGTGGAACTAATCAATTTGAATTGTAGTGGTGTGCTATTAATGTGCGTGTATGTGTGTATGTATGTGTGAATATGTAATTTCCTGAGTGCCACAAACTTTGTGCTTTTGTTAATTCAGGCACAAATACATACACATATGTACGTGGGTTTTAATTTTTGCTGTCGCTTTCTATCAATTTGAAATGAGGCACGCAATAGTTGCTTTGAAATTATGTGCTTCATAATACCGTTTCATTTTCGCTACATGCATAGAATTTATATGTGCATACATATTTATATTAGAGCAACACTTATAAAGGCACATACACATACAGGCATAACTATAATCAGCATATATTGTACATGAATATACGTATGTATGTATGTATGTATGTATATGCAAATGTTAAAGGTATTAACAGGTATGTATGCTTTATATACATATATATATTATATATATGAATGTATGTTTAAGTATAGTTGCATAAATTTACATATATACATACAATATAAAATTTAAATGAGTAAAAGTACTGAGTTCAAGGAAGGCCGCATATACAATATGACTATATTATACCCAACACACATATTGGAAATGTTACTTTTTACATGCAATTAACTTATTTTTTTTATTTTTTTTAGGTACTTAATTTCTACAATAGCTGCCAAGTGAAATTTAGATACATACATAATTACAATCAACATAACCTAATTTTGTAAGTTCTCTTACAAAAGTGCTATCTAACCGAACCTAGATTTGAAAGTGTGATATTATTTTACAGTTCAGCAAGAAATTTTCCTAACAAAAGTACTATTATATTTTTCTCATAAAATATTTCACATGAAAAATTTTGCTTTTCAGCATTATCTAAAATTTACCTTTCAAACATTTTAAAAGTACAAATTTTCTTCAAAACCTCGAATCAAATCTCAAATATTGTACCACAGCGGCATCTATGGTAAGCTTTAAATAAAAGTAAGCAATAGAGGTTAGTTTATCGATCTAAAAACAGCGACTCTACATACATAATTACATATGTATGATTGCACTATATTTTTTATAGAAAAATAAAATTTTTTTTTATTAAAATTTCGGTAGAAAATAAAATGTTTTCGCACCTCTTCATAAAAACAAGCTTTTTTGTTTGTAACACCCAGAAGGCAACGTCGTAGATCTTATATGTATTGTATATGCTATATTATTTATATAAATATGTATATAAATGATAAGCGTGACGAGCTGACTCGATTTATCTGTCTATGCCATCTGATCAAATTTGACCCGGACTGACAAAAAAAAAACTTTTTCAAATATTTTAATACAAATATTTGTTATCATCTTCGCTTTCAAAATAGGCTTCTTTTGAATGCCAACGCTTTATCCAATTTTCCATGCATTTGTTATCAGCTTGGGATGGGATGACCTACAGTGCTTTCAGTGATCTCCGAAGCGGATTTTACAGTTTCAAAAACAGAAAAAAATTACAGAGAGCCAAATCTACCGCATAGGATGGCTCTTTATTTTTGACCGACTTTGACATGTTTTTTCGGTTTCCGTCATATTTATAAACCCACGTCTCGTCCAGTAATGATGCGTTTTGATGAATGTAGAATCCTTAGCTAAGTTCTTCAGCATATCTTTTTCGACCTCTACTCGACGTCGTTTTTGCAAAGATTCAGGTCTTTTGGTATGAGTCTAGCATTGACACGCTTCACACCCAAAAAGATTAACCAAAACGCCTTGAGTCGATCCATAAGAGATACTGAAATCGTCTGATATCCCTCTAATGCCAACACGACGATTTTCAAGCACTGTTTCTGTAACTTTTTCGATGTTATTGTCATTAAGAGATGCACGTTTTCGATTACTTCACGACTTTCACTGACTGCATTTTAGGTAGACTCCCCAAAACACTTCTACAACATGTTCAACGATTCTGTAGCCGTGATTCCATTGGAAACGCAAAATTTCAAGCAAACTCGTTTTTCAATTTATTTCTCCATGGTAAAAATTGACAGCAAACTTTTCGCGTCGTAAATAAACAGCTTCCAAACGTACACTCATTGACATATAGAGATCAAAATTCACACAAACATAAAAAAGATTGTACCAATCTAGAAAAAATGTTCGATTCGGTTTGTGCGCGAATTGGTCTCTCAGTTTTTGAGATATCAAGCTGAAATTTCGCCCACAACTTTTGCTTTACAAGAAGCTGCTTATCTTTCGGAACCGCCGATATCGGACCGCTATAGCATAGAAATGCAGCTGTGAAGTGTTTTATAGCTTCGCAGCAGCCAAAGTTAACACTTTTTAACTTATTATTTATACATTCAAATGCAGGTGTGACAAAATATAAATAGAGAAATGTTATACCTTTTTCCTTACTACTGGAATATATTGTCAAGATTATGTATTTTTCAAGACTTTGAATGTCTACAAGGTGCGTTACAAAGTAAACAGGACTTTTAAAAAAATGACAGAACAAATGGTTTTATCGGCAAAATCAATAAATTTTATTCAAAATAGTCTCCTTCTGCTTTAATACAGCTTTTTGCACGGTCCAAAGCATGTCGAACGAGTGTTTTAGCTCGTTGCCCGGTATGGCCGCCAGTATGCCGGTGCAAGCCTTTTGAATGGCCTCCACGTTTGCATAACGCTTTCCTTTCAACGGCAAATGCATTTTTCCGAAAAGGTAGAAGTCGCACCGTGCTATATCAGGTAAATACGGGGAGGCGTTGGTTGTTAAAATGTGATTTTTGGTCAAATAATCGGCTACAAGCGTCGATCGATAAGACGGCGCATTATCGTGCAACAAACGCCAACTTCCATCTTCGCGATATTCGCGCCGAACACGTCGAATACGGCGCACAAAACGCTTCAAAACTCCAAGGTATAATACCGCATTAACGTTTTGGCCGGGTAGAACAAATTCTTTCCCTTGGAATCATAAAAACAAATCAGCATTGTCTTCACTTTTGACTTGTCCAGGCGCGATTTTTGGGTTTCGGCTCATTTCTCATTTATGTCCTCACGACCACTTTGAAATCGTTGAAACCACTCGTGCACTCTGCTATGGGATAGGCAATCATCGCCATAAACTTGTTTCATCAATTGAAACGTTTCGGTAAAAGTTTTACCAATTTTAAAACAAAATTTAATATGG